AGTTACAATAATATAGTACAGTGAATCATTGTTACACATAGTTACAATAATATAGTTACAGGGAAATCATTGTTACACATAGTTACAATAATATAGTTACGGTAACATCATTGTGTTACACATAGTTACAATAATATAGTTACAGTGAAATCATTGTTACACACATTACAATAATATAGTTACAGTAAAATCATTGTTACACATAGTTACAATAATGTAGTTACAGTAACATCATTGTGTTACCAAATAATGTTTTTCCCTTCATTTAATTACTGATTTCATTATCTGCAGTAAATGTTCAATTTTCTTTGTTTACAGTAATAAAGCGACTCGTTATCACCTGAAAAATGTATATAGTAGTCTGGCTATCTGTATGATTGCTGCTGCAGTTGGTAGTTATGTACATGTGTTTACTGGAATTATACAGGTAAGATGTGTATGTGTATACAGTTCTCTGTATGATAAATGTGTTGTGCTGTGATAAACTTTTCGTCCTAATGTTTTTAAATTACATAGGGAGGTATCTTGGCCACCGTTGCTGCTATTGGGCTGTTAATTTTGCTTGGCATAACCCCACATACCAGAGAAAATCAAATGAAGAGACTTGGATTCCTCATTGGATTTGCTTTTTTCATTGGTGAGTTGAATAAATATCTCAGTCAATGTTACTATCACTGTCATCATAATGCTACAAGTGCAAAATGAATAAAACAGACCAATTGTGATATAAAAGAAATAATGAAAATACAATCCTACATGTGTGTATGTGTTTTAACACTATACGTGTATGCATAGTATAGATACACACTGCTTAATCACTTGGATGTTAACCCACATGTGTCGTCCATCACAGCAATCTCTGATGTATTCCAATCATTTTGTTTTGTTTTCTGTATTGTAGGTGTTGGCCTTGGTCCTTTATTGGATGTTGTCATTGACGTTGACCCAAGGTATGTACAACTGTTTGTGTCACTGGTATGCTTTATTCTACATGACAAACAGTCTTCTACCCCTGGTCTGGAAATGGCTAGTGTTTTTTTGTATCAGATTATGATACCGTCACAATATCGGTAAATTTACAGTCATGCAAAGCGATACCTTATTGTATGACTTCACTTTGACCTCAATATTATTTGTATTTGACTACAATATAAACAAAACATGTAAACAAAATTGATGATGCGTATCAAAACCGATGATGCGTATCAAAACCTGCCTACCAACTCAT